TTGAAGTGCACAGTTGAACTTATAATGCCTGGTAGAAGATTTAATGTGATTTTTCTATTAATGATCATGGATATTTGGGAGGAAAAGATAGTTCCTAAAGCCACTGGAATACATTTTAGTAGCTGCTGTCTATAGTTTCAGCTACACAGAGGTGAAGGATCCAGGAACATTGCTTGAGCACAAAAGTTCAAGGCCACTGTGGGTCATACAGTAAGACCCTTTTTGAAAAACAAGGAATGTGCTTAAGATGAAACTTGGAAATCATACCTTCATTTGACTAAGGTGACTTTCAGGGTTAGGGTTAGGGCGACTTTCCTACTTCCATGCTCTTTAATGAGCACTTTTCTGGGTCAGGTTTGTGGAATAAAGAAGAACACTTGGTCATTAGCCCCACAGAGGGGGACTGTATCTTCTACACGCATCACTGTATCTTTCACGTTTAGCATAGGGCCATTGCACAGGAGGTACCTGACACATAGCTATGGATCTCAGGAAGTGACTCTGAAACCTGAGGACTGAACTTGGAATTTTCCTGCTTATTAGAGACATGACTTAGATTAAGTTACCTAGGAAGGACTCCAGAATTCAGGTTTCCTAAATAATACATATAACAACATAATATAACATAATGTAATAATGATTACATTATATAATATAATGTAATGATACTATAGCATAAACATAATAAAAATTAGGACAATGATATCTATAGGCAAAGACCAAGAAAGCTTTCTCTTAAAAGAACTTTTGTGAAAATATAAATAGAATTAAGCAAGTATGGGGGTTACATGGGAAATTCCAAGAAATTTAAATATATAATTTTAAAACTACTCCAAATACAAAAAGAAATCCCTTTAGAAGTGGGGATACACCAAATTGGCCCATTCCAAGTAACCAGAATAGTAAGCATTAAGCTAAGTAAGAGTGAGTAACTATTTAATAACTCTTTAATAGTAAGAGTTAAGCTAAGAGGTCCTCTCCTCTTCTCCCAGAATTGCAGATGTTTTGTTCCCACTTTAATAAATAAATTACCAATATTTGTTTCTGTATGTGTTTCATGCTTTAGTTTTTGAGTTTGCCTGTAACTTCACAATACTCAACACAGGGACAGTGCCAGTGACCATGCCAGTGAGTTGTAATTGAAGTTCCAGGTGTCAGCCCACCAGAAGGGAATCCTCTGATGGGCCAATCTCGTTTAGGCACTTCCACGGGACTGCAGACCCTGGAATGTCTTTTGCTTCTACTGTGTCTTTCCATGTTTGCTGCAGCTCTCTTTCTCCGGTATCTAGCATGGTGTGAGTGGATGTGGGGAGATCTTCACTGCCTATAATATAGTGTGCTTATCTCTTGGAAACATCCTGCTCTACTAGGCATTTTTACCTGTGGACTGTCAAGAAGATGGCACCTCTCTAATTTGTACTGTCTAATTTGATAATAATAATGATAGTTTATACATAGTTTTGGTTAATAAATGCAAGGCTATGTTTCACAGTCAAAGACTGAGTTTCACCTAAGGAGCTGCATGGATTGTATAGCTCAAGTTAAGGATTAATTACTGAGCCCAGATAGTTGGAGGAAATATGTTAGTTGGGATGGGCTTTGAGGTTTCAAAAGTACATGCCAACCCCAGAATCTCTCTCTCTCTGCTTATGAATCAGATAGAAAAGCTTAGCCACCAACTTCATGTATTTCTGTCAAAGCCCTGTGCTGCTGGTGGTTGCCCCCCTAGCAGTGGCAGGACAGGTACTGAAGTAAGGACTGATGATGTCATGGAGGGTAGTATATTTTCTACCTCTACCATGAGGTAGAAACTCTTCCACAAGGGTGTGCCTGTTATCCAAAGCTATGCTGTGTCACTAGGCTAAACCATATGGGGGTTAAAATCTGCTTCCTGACTCTTTCCTGAATCCACACTTTTCTATCCTCAGGGTCCCTGGCTGCTTACCCTTCCTCACTGATGCTCTCTCCTCAACCTTTTCTTTCTGACTTTTCATTTGGGCTTCATGGAGAGGACAATCACAGATTCAGTGTTGGGGTCATAAGTGGTGCCCTAAAAGGAAGGTCTCAAACTATTTTTCTATCTGACCTTCTCTTGTCTTCTGTTCTCTCACTCCACCCAGCCAGTTTTCTCCCAAGGCAAGACCCAAAAAGTAGAATTTACTTTCCCCAAGTCAAGTCATAGTCAACAGTCAGACTATATATGATCAGTCTGGCTTTCTAGCAGCCAGGAAGGGATCATGTCTCTTTCTGCTCCTACAGCAGGAAACTGGAGGGGTTTGAATAAAAATGGTTACATGAATATCAAGACATTTTTAAACGTGTGTGTGTGTGTGTGAAAAATTGTGTTTTGTTAGGCCATGTTCCAATTTTTAGATCAAGTTTGATGGCAAAATAGAAATCCTCTATTTTAGTTTATGTCACTTGCATTAGTGTTGGGGAAGTCCTGTGCATTTGTCAATAAAGAATAAAGCACTGTCTGGCCAATAGGGAATCTAGATAGGAGGGACTAGGAGTCCAGAAGGACTCTGGGTAGGAGAAACACTGAGAGTTCGAGATGTAACGCCATGGGGTAGGATCCCGGAACTATTCTCCGGTAAGAGACATACTTAGATTAACAATTATGGGGTAATTACTTAAGTCAGAGCTAGTCAGTAAGAAACAAGCAAGGCCAACAGCTTCATAATTCATATAACCTCCTGTGTGTTTATTTGGGACTGAAACGGCTCTAGAACCAGGCTGGCGGGAAAGCGGCTCTGGAACCAGGCTGGCTGAACGGCTCCTTCTCAAGGAAAAAGCTTCTCTTAACACATTAGATTTCCCTTGAGTCTAGTAATAGGTCCAACAGACAGAGCCCTTTCCCCCAAGACCATCTCAGTTGTCAATACTACCTCTGTGGTATGATTCCTAACTGAGGAAATGAAGACATTAAACACCAGATCCTTCTGTTTCCACATCCAGAGGGCTAGGATTACAGATACGGTTATCACCACACTCAGTTTGTGTGGTGTGGTGCTGGAGGTCCAACCCCCAGGATTTGTGCATGCAAGGCCAGCACTCTAGTGATGGTGCTTCATCCTAAACAGCATGTTCTTTTATTTTATCACCACCTTTAAACTGGAGAAGCAAAAAGGAATAAGCAAGAAGACCAGGTAGGGAGTTACTTAAATCCTACTGAGGTGAGTCAGAACAAGGAACCATCTTTGAGCCCTGCTGCCCACAGTGATGTGCTTGTTAGAAATGTTCCAAAGCACCCCAAAACAGTGCCACCAGATGGGGATTAAGTGTTCAGACTCATGAGACTGTGGATGGGGAATTCACATTCAAACAATGAAACTGTGTTTGTTTTACACAGTCTCCCTGTGCAGCTTAGGGTGACCCTGACACCACAATCCTTCTGTTTCAGCCTTCCCAATGCAGTGGAGGCATGTGCCACCACTTTCAAGATATGCTATGTGGGGCTGCTTTGATTTTGAGTCAGGGTCTTCCTACATACCTATGTATCTCAGAATGGCCTAGAACCTTCAAGGTTCAGACATTAGCCTGTAAGACCTTTAACAATCTCTTTTCTTTTCTTTTTCCTTTTTTAAAATTTAAATTAGAAACAAACTTGTTTTACATGTCAATCCTAGTTTCCTCTCCCTTCCCTCCTTCTCTGCCCACCAATGGCCCCCTATCCCATGCCCAGTTGGATCCCCATGGAGGGTGAGGCCTTCCATGGGGGAATATCTGTTTTCTACATGAACACTTGGTCTCTTCTTTTATTTCAGCTACCCTAGTGTCAAGTGCAACGTCTTCTCCTAGTATCCGACAGACACCTTTATGTTATTGAGTCTTCCTATGATTTTGATTTCTGATGGAAATAATGGCTCCAGCGTGTTGGAAACATTGGGGATACCAGTGATTCTGTCCTGGAGCCTTACCTGCCAGAGGACACACAGAGACCACTGAAGATTCACAACCCTAAAGAGCTGTAACCTATTTTGCAAACATTCACAGGTGCAAATATATTCTTGATGAAATATACACATTGAACTAAAGTATTTTTTGTCAAAGACTGGGATTGAGTAAAGAAAATGCTTTCTCCCATGCCAAACTGGACAAAGCTATTATTATTTTTGCAGCACTGGTGATCAAACCACGAGCCTTGTGCATGCTAGGCAGGCACTTCACCCCTCAGTTATGCTGTCAGACGACCTACTTATTACAGACATGAAACCACATAGAACAACCATGGATACTCAGAAAAAGCCTGCCTCTAGAATTCAACAGCAGCAATCTATCAACAGTAACATATACAATTAAATCTTTTTCTGTGTGTCTGCCATAAGTGAGAAAACCTAGGACCACATGCACGCCAAGTTTAAAGCTCTTCCTGAAGATTAATGCTTGCTGCACACAATGATTTACGGTAGTAATATGGATAGAAATCACCGGAGGACCATTTGGACTCCCGGGATGGCTCAGGATTCTCCATACTTAACATGCTTTCAGGGAACACCGATCCACAAAGTGCATTCATGTTCAAGTATTGGTAAAGGCATATTACGTGGCCACACTGACCTGATTTGCTAGGTCTATGAGCATAAAGATGAGAGCACAGATGTCAATGAATTAATTCAGTGCTTGTTTTACTGCCCATGCTAAGAACTCTGTTCATCTTCGCTCTCCCTCTTCCACATTCCTTTGTCTTAGGCCCTTAGATCTTACGGAAATGAACTGAAACCGTTTTCCATGGGGGCTGGAGATCTGAACTCGGCTCCTCATGCTGTCGTAGTATTTTACCAAGAAAACCATCTCCCTGGCTCTGAAAAATTAACTCTTAAAAGTCAGTCCGCGGCTACTGAGTGGCAACATGGGGATGATGGGGAGATCTGTATAATCTTAAAAGTCAGTCCGCGGCTATCTAGATACTTACTTTATTCTTTGCTCCCCACTCAGTCAAACGTCCTGTTAGGGAAAGGCATTATCTGTCTCTGAACAGCAGATTCCAACAGCAGCAAAGGCAGCTAAACTCTTCCGTAATAATGAACAGGGTGACTAAATCCTGAATTCTCCAGAGATGGGACATCCATCTCCAGAAACGGCCTGCCATAGCAGCCCTACAAGTTTATCGGAAATGAGCCAACTGACTGGAAAAGGGAGAGGAGGGCGCTTTCTGGAAAAGCAGACTTTCCCCCGTTGACCTGGAGGAGTCAAGTGTCCACCGGCAATGACGTACGTGCATCTGGTTTGCTTGGCCACAGCGGAAAGGCGGATGAGTACTGATCCACCCTCTGCAGAAGCACGGCTACCTCCACAGGCTGTGAGGGAGGGCTAAACGGACTGGGCTGCGTGCACAATCCTCAGCTACCCAGCGGAAAAGGCCAAGGACGCCACAGCCCGCTGTCATTTGCTGCCACTAAAAGGGGGCCGCTCACAGACCTAAGCGGCCGCTGCGCCGCCGTGCACGGAGGCCACGCCCCCCGGCGGCCGAGGGCAATGGGCGTGGCCGGGGCGGTGCCTGACACGTGATGGCGGCGGTCGCAGCAAGTAGCGCCAAGCGGACCCTGCGGGCCGAGCTGAAGCAGCGTCTGCGGGACTTAAGCGCCGAGGAACGACTGCGCCAGTCTCACCTCCTCACGCAGAAGGTGCGAGAAGGCTGCGGGGAGTTAAACGCGGGGAAGCTCGGGCTCGGATCCCGTGTCTGCGCAGGCGCACCTCTCCCCCTTGCGCGCGCGTCCTCTAGGGCGCATGCTCGCAGCTCCAGTCTGGCCCGGTAGGGCGGGCGGCAGGCTCTGCAGGTACCCCGGGGCTTCTCCAGCGAGGCTGGGCACGTTTGCTCACTCGAGCCGAGTTATTTTGTTATTGTGAGGAAAGACGTTGCCACGAGCTTTAGTAGACGTGGAGAATATGGAACCACACCAGCACTTTCCGGTTTAGATTTAATTCATTCACATGTGTGTAACACCCAGCAGTAAGCCATTCTGCTGTGTATTGGGTTACAGAGATGACAAAGATGATTGTCACTTCTAAAGGCAGAGGAAGCAAGCGAATGAAAAATTTAGGGTTGGGGATATGGCTCAGTGATAACAACTATCTTTTATTTGTACATATTTAGAACATACACTTAATTTGGGTCTGTTTTTCTACTTTCAAATTGTGTCTTTGTTTTTGAGTTTATCTATGGGTAGATTAATTTTCACGTTGTGAGATAATTGCATTCGCACAGTCACCCCTTGGGTTTCTGCTTCTGAGTTAGGGTTGTTTATCTGGAACTCGTTGCCTTCTTATGTACTTTTTCTTGTCAACTTTTTTAGAGTACATCCTCAAGTTTTTTAAAAGGAAAACACCTATGTGATTGTCAACCTTTATTTTATTTTTTGCATGCATGTATGTGAGTGTCTTTAGAGGTCAGAAGTGGGTGTCAGATCCTTTGAAACTAGATTTAAGGATGTTGTAAGCCCCAGTGTAGGAACTAGAAATTGAACCCAGGTTGTCTGCAAAGAGCATTTAGTGCTCTTAAACTGCTGAACCATCTCTTTAGACCTGACTGTTTAATATATTTTAAAATGTTTTCAATTCCCATTTGACCAGTCAATCGATTTCAAGTTTTTAATTAGTTTTTTCTCATTCTCTTCAACACCTATGACTTCAAATGGAGAGAGTGATTTTATTTATGTATTATATCTTGTGGCTTAGTTACTGTTATACTGCTCTAAAGAGACGCCATAACCAAGGAAACTTATAAAAAGAAGTATTTCATTTGGGTCTTGCTTACAGTTTCCGAGGCTAGCCTGTAATCACCATGGTGGGAAGCATGGAGGCAGTCAGTCACCATGGTGGGAAGCATGGAGGCAGTCAGTCACCATGGTGGGAAGCATGGAGGCAGTCAGGTAGGCATGGTGCTGGAGAAGTCGCTGAGAGCTTACATCTTATCCATAAGATGGAGGGAGGGACGGAAGGAGGGATGGGGACAGAAAGAAAGAGAGATTTTGAACCCTCAAAGCCCACTCTGGGGTCTCTGTGATCATAGAGGTCTGCAGAGTATCAGTGTGAAGCAAGAAGGAAGTCCAGCTCAACACGACTCAGTGGCTGGTGTTAGTTCAAACTTCTAGAGTCTGACACAGGACATTTTAGATGTATTTAAGCACAGCGCATTTTGGAAAAAAAATTTCCTGCTGATAACTCAATCCTGTGTGTACAACAAAACTTAAGACACAGTTACATTGAAATTCTCTCCAAAGTATATGTGTATTCTCCCATAAAGTTGGATTCTGTAGATTGACTATATGTTAAGTGTCTGGGAGAAGATCTGGTATGGTATGGTACAGTTAATGCAAAAGTCCCATTTGTACAGTACATGTGACATCACCACAAAGATAGGCTCTACTGACTGAGAAACCATGGGTCTAGGGAGGATGGCTGAGACAAACGTAAGAATATGGGAGAACCTTGGTAGTCTAGCCACACAGATAGTTCAGAGGTCACTAGGCTACTAACCAAATCCATTGCCAGCCTTCTGGGCAGAAAACAGATGATACATCTCTTCCTTTGAAGAGACAGTCCTTAGTGTTTAACATTCCTGGTTCCCCTAGTGCTTATCTATGAGCACAAGGACTCTGTCCTCTACAGCCCACCCTGAGTGACACTTTCAACGTGAAGGTACACACCTCCTAATCCCTCCTAAATAGTTCCTCATCTGAGGACAACACATTCAGATGTGTGAGCCTGTGATGTCCATTCTCACTCGTACCACCACATCTTGAATTCCAGTTTTCCTTTGGATCGTGCAGGAATTCTTGTTAATTAGATAGTAAAAAGTCTAAACTGATCTTCTATGTCTCTTAACATTTTTTTCCTAATTTGTCTCCCCACTCAGAATTTCCTACTAGATTGTTTTCATTTTGCTTACCATGGTTTTAGTTTCCAATAATTATTTCTTATGTCTCTTACTGCTGCCTTTTTATAGCAGTCTATAAGATGTTTTATCAATTCAGTTCTTGTTTTCAGTTTGTGTGAGAAAACTAATTAGAGTTTAAAAATAATCTCCATTCTTTGTATTATCTGTTTTGTGCTGAATTATTTTTTTCCTCCCATTTGTCATTTTAAAAATCTTTCAGTTTTGTATTTTGGCTTTTCAAAATGGTTGAGAATCATTTATTGGTTATTCATATTTATATCCGTTGGGAATATTGGGCATCACCTGAGGACATTGTATGTGGTAGTGAAGGCTTCCACCACACAATGACGCCCTTGTCTATTAATGAAAGTGTGTTAGCTACAAGCTACAAGATTCCCTCTGTTTTTGTAGACACTGGTTGGAGTTCTAACAGAAGAATGGGCTTGGTCTACCTCCTGTGTTCGTGTTTTAGTGCCACTTTGTCTATAAATACTGTCTCACTGGGACTTAGTCAAATTTCTGCCTTATTGTCTTCTTTTTTATGATGGGTTTCCCTTTTCCTCCCTTTTTAACAAATAGCATGTAAATGGGCTTGAAGGAAGGCAGGTGAATGTATATGCATAGTCTCACACTGAATTCAGCTCTTGCTTTTCTATACTCTGCTTTAAAGAGATTAAGAGAAATAGTCTCATATAGTAAGTGCTGTCAAAGCCTTAGGCCTGCTCCAAATCTGGGTTTCCCCTTTCCATTTGCTTCACTTATGTCCCTAACAGCTTTACAGCGTTTCAGAAACCAGAGGTTGGCTTTCTTCCGTAGCCTGGGTTTGTAAGCTTTGTTTAGCTTATCTCTTCCCTTTGTACTAAGTGTAACTTGGCTTTCTTTACCTGTATCTTTTTCTGCCAGTCATATTTGTAAGCCTCCTTTCTATTATCCTTTTCTTCTTAGCTTGAAGGACAGGGGAGAACAGAAAAGGAATGGAGAAAATAAAGGGAGTTAAGGGCCAACTTCTGAGTCTGGGTAAGTTCCTAGGGTTATGAAGAAACTTAGCCCTTTGCCTGATGAGCGATTCCACTAAATAAGGATTCTTACACCAGGAGCCCCTTGGCCCCACGTCAATGAACTTTGTGAACACCCAGTTGAATGGAATAGTGTTAGTAGAGCTAATAGACTGTAATAGGGCATGTTCTCTATGGGAGCTTGTGGACTGATGCAGAATCCTTCATTTAGGACACATAAGCAGTGACTGGCTCACCTCATACAAACTGAAGTGCTGAGTTGTGTCTCACTCTAATGGAGTAAAGGTTCTGCAGACATCAGGAAGGTTAGGTCTTGGTTGGCCTTACATAGGCAAAATTAATGGGAGAAATACCCAACAATCCAAGGACTGGAAAATTGGTGAGATTCACGTTTCCAAGAGAAAATAACGCAAAAATCCTTAAGTTTCTGATGTGTACTGAAAACTGGGACCACATCTGGAATTCTGGAGCTTTCCTACTTTATGTCTTTTTAATGAGTTTCCATATAGGCAATAGGCCTACCAGAGAGGTAAAGGGATCATTAAATATGCAAATCCTGAAAATGAAAGCCAAGTATCAGGAGGTAGCATTAACTCACTGTATCACTCCGAGAACATTGTGACAAAAGGGAAAAATTGCTAAGAGGAGTTTCTAGTTTATGAAAAATATAGTCTTAAAAATTATAATTGTCATCATTTCCCACTTAGGTGATTGCTCACAGTCGGTATCAAAATTCCAAAAGAATTTCCATCTTTTTGAGCATGCAAGATGAAATTGAGACGGAAGAGATCATCAAGGACATTTTCAAACAAGGCAAAATCTGCTTCATCCCTCGGTACCAGTTCCAGAGCAATCACATGGACATGGTGAGATTAACATCACCTGAAGAGATCTCTTTACTTCCCAAAACATCCTGGAATATTCATCAGCCCGCTGAGGGAGATGTTCGGGAGGAGGCCTTGTCCACTGGTAAGGCATCATTTCTCACCTCAGAACACTTACCTAGATGCAGCCTATTTCATCTGATTTTGGATGCTAAGTGTGGTCAGGCTTGGCTAGTTTGGGAGAATTAATGTCTTTGAATGTTTGGTAATTTCATCAGATATTTTCCTCCACAACACCTTTGTGTATGTGTGTGTAAGACAGGGTCTCACTATGTAGTCAAGTCTGGCTTCTAACTCTCAAACTCCTGCATCTCCAGTGCTGAGCTCATAGGCATACACTACCTCTCTGACTTCTCCCAGATAGTCTCATCTATTTTATGTCATATCTATTGTATGTATAGGAAGATAAGGACTCACACTGTATCTGGGAAGACAGCAATTTTGTACTAATAAAGCATCCCAACTTGTACTATACATCAAATGTAAGTATTAAATAAAAAGATATTGAGTATTGAAAACATTAAAGTTCAGGGGTTGGTCTTGAAAAATGTGCATTCTCAATACTTGTTTATTCATTTTCATCCTCTGCTCTTTATTCACACTTTGTTTGTGTCCTCGGTGGCTTTTGCTCCCATGATACTTGCAAACCAAGTTGCAGTGGAATGAAGTATGACACTGTAGATTCTCTCAGTCGTGGTATGAGACAGAGATCCCTGATGTTGTTGGAGGAAATGTCTGAGCAGGCTGGCTCGTTGTCCGTTACCTCCTAACACCACATCCTCCTGGTGCAGTTTCACTTGCTTCAGCAGTTTAGAATGCAGCGAGTTTGGTGCTAAAGCATCAGTCAAGCTTCACAGGGCCTGAGACCAGCTGACTGGAGCTCAGATTGTCTTTGCCACAGCCTTTGTGGTCTATGCATCTTCCTGGTTGGCTTCTCAGTTTAGAAGGCAGTAAGCTTGTGTGCCCTCGGTTGCAATGACAAGTTCTCAAGCAAAAATGTCACATAAGGCATTCTTGTTTCACATAACAACCCAGCTGGTAAATGAAATAGAGGGGCTGTTTTTTAAATCTTTACTGGATTTAAGGTGACACCTGCCTAGACAATTTGATCAACTGGGAGTCCTTCCATTGAGAACTTACAGTCTGATTAAACCTTAATCAATTTGGCTTAAGCACAACTGGGATAATACTGGTACGGACATTGAAGACTGCACAGAACAACCGGTCTTAAATGTTAGTGTCCTTAGGACTCAGTCTGTCTTTGTTGTGATTCTGTTTGTATCTGTGATGGCTCTGTGTCTACTGTGGCCCATGGCAGCTTGGACTTAGACATCATCTTTTCTGCTGGAAATTCTCTAACAGCCTCAATAAAATTCTGGTCCCAACTCTCATTACCCCTATTGGTCATCTCTGAATTAACCACTCTGGCTAGATACGGAAGCTCAGGCCTGGGTTGTACATGACCATTTCTAACTGATTTTCTTTGTTCAGGGAAAGGACCTGTAGCCACCTTTCCAGCCCTCCTCAGTCACTGAGCTGAATTGTGGGGCTGAGGTGAGAGTGACATGTGCTGTTCTAGAACAAAAGAGAATGGATAAGATAATGTCAAAAGTCAAACTCTGCTATACTATTAGCCATTTCTGAGGTCCCAAAGAACAGACTCTTGCCTATAACTTCTAATGATAGTTTTACTGTTTGAATTTTTTTTGAGACGTCTTAAGAATTCATGTCTATGTAAGAGTACCCAAGACACAACTTAAATAGGTGGCTGCAATGATTTTACAGTGCTCCACTGTGACACTTTACAGTAATTAAAGAGGCCCCATCAAGGGCAAGGTCTTTGACTCTACTCCTCAAGGTTGAGCAGCTCAGTGCTTTGGGTGAGGCAGAATCAGTTCATTGAGTGTAATTCACATTTATTTGTCCCATTTCCTTCTTTACTAGGACTGTGTAGTATCTACAAAATTATGGTGAAAACTGTGGGCATGGCTTTCATCGATGTCTTTGACCAAGTCTTTGTTTGTGTATAATATATATAATATATTATGATATATGATATATATTGAGAACTTTATTATAGAATACTTGCAAGAAAAAAATACCACAAAGTCATGATATCCTTAACAGTAGATCGAAGAAATTTGAATTGTGTCACAAAAAATTTGAAAATGTTCTATCTTATTTATTTATTTATTTGAGATGGTGTGGTGATTTGAAAGAAAGTGGCCCCTAAAGGGAGTGGCACTGTTAGGAGGTGTGACTTTGTTGGAGTAGGTGTGGCCTTGTTGGAGGAAGTGCGTCACTGTAGACGTGGGCTTTGAGATCTCATATATGCTCAGGCCCCACACCCATGTCTCAGTCCATTTTCTGTTGCCTGTGCAAGATGTAGAACTCTCAGCTACCTCTCCAGCACCACATTAGCCTGTGTGCTGCCATGTTCTACCATGATGATTATGGAATAACCTCTGGAAGTATAAGCCTCCTTTATAAGAGTTGCTATGGTCATGGTGTCTCTTCGCAGCAATAGAAACTCCAACTAAGACAGAAGTTACTTCACTGTGCAGCCCAGGCTGGCCTTGAATTCACAATCCACCTGCCTCAGCCTTCAATGGTTATAGACCTACATAGCCATCTGTCTGGTAACTATTTATTAAGCACTTAATCCAATGTTGTCACCTTCCTAATGAAGTTCCTCATGGTGTGTTGACCCCAACCATAGAATTATTTCCATTGCTGCTTCATAATTGTAACTTTGCTATTTTATGAACTGTTATATAAATATCTGATATGCCAACCCTGTGAAAGGGTCATTTGACCCGAAAAGGGGTCACTAACCAATCACAGGCTGAGAATGACTGAATGTCTGTGAGCAGTGTGGTGGAGACCTAGTTCCCATAGTAGTGGCGTTAACTGGCCTGTTGTTCTCACAGAGGCAGGTTTTGCTTGCATGTTGTCATAGTTCCTCTTCTTTGAGCTGTCCTGTTCAGCTTTGTGTTAAACAGCAAGATGTCCCACCACGCCTTAATTCTACATTTCTAAATTTATTCTTTTTAGTGTATTTCTGTTTGTAGCTAGCTTGTGCCCATAAAATTACCCTTGTCTCTCCTTCTTAACCATCCAATTATCAAGTATTACCAGGATTTTCTTTGTAATGTATTTGTATGCAGTGCATGTGTGTGGTATGTGTATATGTGTGTGGACAGGTGTGTGTACCATGTGTTGGAGTAGAAGCCAAGGGAGCATGTTGCATGTCCTGCTCTATTGCTTTCTTGTAATGTGTTTGTATGCTGTGCATGTGTGTGGTATGTGTATATGTGTGTGGACAGGTGTGTGTACCATGTGTAGGAGTAGAAGCCAAGGGAGTGTGTTGCCTGTCCTACTCTATTGCTTCCTTACTGCTTTGCCATGGTCCCTCACTGAGCCTGGAACTAGGCTGGCATCCAGCAAGCGAGGTTTTTAAAGTAATGAAATGTCAGTAAATTAAAGTTTGCCTTCACCTCTGATGATCTTAACAGATACTGAATTCTTTTCCATGGGGTACTGAAGCCTACTGTATATGCTTTTCTTTAAATATTCTTGCAAATGGCACCTTACCTCAACCACATAGCATCACTCTACCTGTGGAAGTCGTTTTCATTGCCTAGAAAATAATTCTAGATTCTATGGCAAGGAAGAAGAAAAGGAGGGTTTTATATTTTCCCCATCCTTAGTTTTGGGGAAGGTCTCTGCCTTCATTCACCTGCTTACCTCAACTGAATGTCACCTTCTTTCTGTGACTGCTGGAGGCTTTCATCTTTCGTTTGTGGGGAGTCTGTATAACCTACCCTAGTCTTGAACTTGCCATATTGTCCAGATTGGCCCTAAACTTATAATCTTGAGCATCAGCTTCCAGAGCTGAGACTGACTGAGAACCACTCTGCCCAGGTCCTGCTCAAATCCTAACCATTGTTGTGGCCTTAACCTTATGGATTTCTGATTCTTTGTTTCTACCTAGAAAACACTTTGATTTCAGGTGTGTACAACTATTCCTTGTTTATGCCATACTGGGGATCAAACTCAGGTCTTGTCTTCATGCATACCAGGCAAGCACTCTTCTAACTGGGCTACCAGCTCAATATTTTTTTAAAAAGAATATTAGTTGTTGTCATGAAGTACTAACTGTATATGGCGTTTATTGAATGATCTCTTCTTCTGGTAGAGTCACAGCTTGGTTTTATTCCTAACATGGTATGATAGGCAAGCAATTAATGATGCCTAGCTCAGTGGTTCTGAACCTTCCTAACTCTTCAACCCTTTAATACAGTTCCTCTTGTGTGGTGATTCCCCCAACCATAAATTATTTTGTTGCTATTTCATAAATATAATTTTCTACTATTATAAGCCATAATATAAATGTCTGATATGTAAAATATCTGATATGTGACCCCTGTGAAGGTATTGTTCAACCTCCAGTTTGAGAACCGCTAGACTAACTCTATAGAACATTGAAACATCTGTGCTTTGTTCAATAGATTTAGTTTCTTAACTTCTTGCTGTGGTCAGTACGCTGAGGGGTTAAGGATGTAGAGGGCCAGGGTCCAGTGGATAGGTGGGCTGGGGAGTAGCAGCGTTGGTAAGGGTGAGGTGAAGGAAGAAAGGACTGGTCAGGGATTAGCTGAGGGAAACACAGGCCTTGAGCATTCAGAGCCAGGGCCAGGGACTATAAGAAATTCCTCATGTGGACAGGGATGTGGAGGGCACAGGTGATGCCCAGCTCTTCTCCCCTCCCCAGGGATCATCCTGTTCTCTCTCTTACTATCTCCTTTGTCCCTTGTTTTTTTTTATCTCCTTATTATCTATGTATTACCTACTGTTTTTACAAATCATTCAAACAGTCAATAGTTTTGTCTTTGTTATTACCTTGATATTAGTCTGTAATTATTTCCTGATTCCTTATTCATTTATTTTCATTCCTCCCTGTATATTAATAAAAAGGTAATAATAGTTAACATTTTGATATAAAATGTTTTTGATCTCATTGTTATCTGATTTATCTTAATAGTATTAAGTGTTTCATTGACACAAACAGTATTGAACATTATTAAA